TAACTGCATGGATCCATGCCCTTCCCTGGGACTCCCCAATGCCAAGTGATGCAGCTGATGCTGAGCATCACTGCAGACCCAGGGCACAGCTCCTCACAGCCCACTTAAAGAGGGCTTCCATCTCTCCCTGATGGAAGGAGGATACACAGAGTACCCGAGTAACACGAAGTGTCCCATTCAGTTATTTGTACACGTGACAGATCCCTGTGGAAAAACACTGCTGGTAGTTCCGTCTTCCAGGCCTGGAAGGAGGGAAACTGAGGCACTGGAGCTGGGTGAGCAGAAAGCCTGTGTCAGAGCAGAGGGCCCCAAGGAAGCATCCTGCTGACTGCTCCTGCCATTGCAGCATTATGGAGCAGAGATCCAATCTGCATTAGGGGATGGGGAATGAGGACAGCAATGTGCCTCTTTGGGGTAGCTGTTTAAATGGTAGTTGTTGCAAAGGAAGAGCTACAGGAAAGCAAAGGGCTGCCCTAGGATTCTGATGTCTGTCCAACAGCTTCCAGTGTCACTGGGTTTGGTATAAAATCCATGTTGGCTGCCCAGGGATCTGAGCACCAGTGTGCCACAGGGTTTGGTGGGAGCTGTGAACCTCACCAATAAAAATCAGTCCTCAAGGGATGCCAGGGTAAAGAGCTCTGCTCTGGTCAAGCTCAGGAGCTCCAGTTCCAGGACTTGAGCCACTGTGCGAGTGCCAAAAAGGTCCCAATTCAGACCCTGCCCTGAAGGATTCAATGCTGGAGCCAGCAAGGGAGAGCAGCAAGGAGGAGAGAAGATGAAGACACAAATCACTGCTTGCAAGTGCAGGGGAGGCCATTTCCAAGGCCAGAACTGAGGCATCTTCCCCTCCTCTGCTTCTTAATCATCTGTTATTTGAGGGTGAGATTTGTTTTATTAGGGGGGGAAAAAAGCCACAACAAAACACCTTTATTTGTGTGATTTGCTCTGAGGTGTGTCAGGGACAGGACAGGAATCCAAGTTAATTATTATCTGTCAGTGCAGCAGATGGAAAATGGATGGATTGAGAAGATCACAAGGCTGGAGATGAGGGATGAGATTGCAGCACAAGGCAAGGTGCAGCCTGTGAGCAGGACCAGCTCAGGGGTGTGCTGGGAGCCAGGGCAGGAGGTGGTGGTGGATGAGGCACTTCCCAGGGACCAGGGCAGTGGTGCTTAGCAGCAAGGAGCAGCTCAATCTTGGCAGGAGGTCAAAGCAACACGCACCAAGGGCCAGCAGGGAAAACACAGAGCCATGCCCAGAGTGGAGCCAGCACATACCCACAGAGCCCATGGAGGGGATGGAGGGATGGAACTGGGGTGGCTCAGCACAGCTCACTCTCACCCGTGCTGGACGAGGTTGGTCTTTGCAGCCACCCCAGAAGTCTCACACTCACCAGCCCTGCAGGAGACGTCATCAACACGGTTATCAGTGGTGAAGGAAGGGTGTGGGCTGGCCAGGGAGATGTGAGGCACCGCTTTCCTCAGGTGGCCTTTGGGCAAACACAGCGGATGGGCACAAACCTCCTTCCTCCCTGGTCCTGTTTACAGATCCGCTTGGCCCAACCTGTGTGTTATTACTGCGAAGTGCACAGATAACACTATTAATAAGCTCACTGCTGATAGCAGAGGGGCAAACAGCACTCCTAACGTTTACCAGCTTGCTCCCAGCCTTTGAGTAAAGGCAGCTTCTCCAGGGTAGAGATTTCTGCAATCAATAGAGCTAGTTTGACTCATTCTCTCCCTTCCTGCCCCTCTCCTGCATGCCTGCTTGTTTAATGACTTGGTTGAATTTATATCTATACATTCCAGTTAAGCAGTTGTTCTTCTTCAAAAGAAAGGCCAGATTAGGAGGATTAACTGACCTCCCACGGCTTTACAACTCCTCTGGGTTCAATTTCAGCTCCAAAGCCAGGGTAGGGCAAGTCAGGCTAGGAAGAATGCCTTATCTTTGCAACACACAGGCACAGACCCACTGGCAAAACCACTGGGGCACAGCAGGAACCAACATTTTATTTCAGGCCCATCTTTGAAGGAAAACCTTCCAATTTCACCCAAACTTCAGCATACATACAGCTCCTGGCCTTCATTTCCCAGTTCTGCATGGTCACCCCAATTTAGGGCCACAGCACTGAAAAACAGCAAGTTTGTTAAGGTCCTGCACAGAAATCATTGGTTTTGGTCAACAGAGATCACCAAATAGCTCTTGGGAGATGCCAGTTCCCTGCTAAACTCTAGAACAGAGCTTGGAGAAATGCTTGATTGCACTCAGGGCATCCCAGAACATGAAAGCAAGGAGCAAGGATATGGTTGTCCAAGCAGGCTGGAGATGCTGGTGCTTTGGGGGAAGGCAGAACAAATCCAGCCATGGGTATTCATGAACACCTGCCCAGAGCAGAGTGCCCAAGCTCCACCACAGCAGTGCAAGGGTTTGGTCAGACATTAAACATGACCCTTTTGCTGACAGACATCAAACAACGGCTACACCACCACACACTGGGTGTTCTCACCCAGGAGAAATGGGCCCCTTTCACTCTTGTTTTCCATCCCTTTCGTCACATCCCCATGAACGATAACCTGTGCTCCCCCACCCACTCCTACCAACAATCAGTTTCTTGGGAAGTGTTTCATGGCTCTGAACTCCCAACTCACGTGTTTGCTGGCTGTAAGGACCTCAGGGCTTGAGGGTTCACCCTGGGACACAGGACTAAATCCTCTCCTTCCATGAAAAGGTCTATGCTCTCTTGATGGACTCTCTAAAATCACCAGCTCAGACTGAAATGCTGAATCCCTGTTACCAGCCACAAAACCAGGGGGATCAGCTCACCACAGAGTCCCAAGACAGAAACAGGTTGCCCTGCAACAGGAGAGGGATCAAGGACAGCACAGCTTGAACATAAAGCACCCCCAACTCTGCACTGGTGAGCCTATGAGGTTGGCACATGAGGGTCCTGCTCTGAAGTCAGCATTAATAGGTCATAGCTGTCACCCCCAAAAGCAGCACTTTTCTGCCAGAAATACATCAAACTGGTGTTGTCTCTGCACCCAGGCTGGACCATGAGCTTTGCCTTTTGGGTCAGTTTGGGTATCTGTGCCCTAGATAAAAGCACAAAGTAATGGTACAGGTGAGAAAAAATAACTCAGGGTCTGCCTGAAAACAAGGGAGTGGGGAACTCAAGTGGATTTTGGCCAAACCAGTGTGGCTAAGCACTCCCAAAACAAGGCTGTGCCAGGAGATTAGCTCTACACCTGCCCGAGCCATGGCACAAATTAGTCACCACTACTTGTGGTTCTACCAGTTGGCACATCCTGAGCTGAGCCCATTGACATGGGACAACACAGCAGGTGTATAAAGGAGCTGATCCCCATTGGCTGCCTGTGGCAGATCTGAGAGCTTCTCACTGAGTAATTACTGTAATGACAATAATAGACCTAAAGTAAACAAGGTGGAAAAAAAATAAATCAATGGGCTGGGAGCAGAGGCCACATTTAGTGAGGAGTGCCCTGACGGCTCCTGTCTGCTCCTTGGGCCATCGGAGACTCACATCTATCCTGGTGGCACTCCAGCCAGTGGTTGAAGATCAGCTGTATCCGAGGCTGTGCCAGCAGCAGCTCCCATTCAGCAGGCAGCAGGAGGCTGCAGGCAGGTAAGGACTGGGCTCAGCTGCTCCCCAGAGCACACAGCTGTGGGGTCAAGGGGTTGGGTCCATCGCAGCAGATGTGTGTGCAGCACTCGGGTACCTCCTGATGCAGCCTGGATGGGTTTCCGTCTGATCCTGCTGATTTTATGGCCTCTCCCCTCCCTTCGATGCAGACAAGTTATGGCAAAAGGAGAGGGAAGGGTATTTGCTCCTGTGCTACTAAGTTAGGAGAATTTTGGAGCCAAATGGGGAAGATCTTAGGATCGATCTCCACTAACAGGAGCACACTGAATCCCCACAGACCAAGGGGAGACACAGCATCTCAGTGCACATGCAAAAGAAGAGGGAAACGCTAAGTTTCAACCCCTTCTCAGACAACTGGCCCAAAGCCCCAAGACTACACATCACAGAATGTTTAAGTTTGGAATGCAATTCCCCCCCACCCTCAAACACATCTCAGGGGGTGATTCCACTCCATCCACCCTCCAGTCATTCCCTGTGCCGAATCTATAAAGGCTGATCTCACCTGTTTTCTCTCCCTTGAGCAATATGATCTTACCAAGATTTTCCCAAAAGCTGGATGGGAAAACTCCCAGGCTCTGGAGTTCAATCCCCCAAACTCCTCTGTGTCAGTATCCTCACAGCTCTGTGCTACAAGTAGAATAAGAAAGAAAACTATGTATTAACTGTGTGCCAGTCTCAGACCTCCTGGGTGGGACCTTGAATCTTTTCCAGGCAGCTTAGATCAAACCTTAGAGACCCTCTATTTATTCTCTCCAGCTCTGCCCAAATGTGTGCAACTGTCCAAGGAGTGGGGTGTGACTCTCACAGCCCAAAACGCAAGGCAGAGATTGAACCCATCAACTAAAAATCAAGCAGCTCTGAGTTTTAGAGCAGGTCTGAGCTTGCTCTGCGTTTCCACCTAATCCTTAAGGCAACAAAGGGAAAGGAGTAAACCTGAATCCTGGGCTGTGTGTGGAAGAGCTTTGAAAGGTGAGGGTGGGAACTGTTTGGGCACCTTTTGTCCCAACAGCTTCAAATGCTGGTGGGGCAAAGCAGCACCATCAAATGCCCATTTTAGCTCAGGTGTGTCTGGACAGTTTCTGGCTGAAGGGCCTTTCCCCAGTGCCCTGCAATGCCTATGGCCACCAGGAAATTTTTAATGCCTAACATGGGCTAAACACCAATCTCTTTCCCCTCGTCCAGTTTCTGGAGGGTGCACAGGAAGCTGTGAATCAAGACAGGGAGGTCATCACACGAGTGGCATTCACAGCAGAGCACATAACCTTTCTCATCTTAGCATGTCCCCCCTTTATACCTCTCCTTTTTTCACTGCAGCAAGTGACCCCCAGGCAGATGAGCCATGTCTGGCAAGAAAGTCTCCAGGCCCTGCCATCACTGCAAGAGCAGATCAGCCCCAGTAGACACCCCCAAGATCCACTATGAGAAGTTCTGGCTGTACCGTCACTGCTCATCGGTGCAGCAGATGGACAGGCAAGCTCAGAAGGCTGGGCAGCTCTTCTCAGGGCTGCTGGCCATGAACGTGGTGTTTCTGGGCAGTGCCTTCATTTGCTGCATGATCTTCAATCACGTGGCCATCACGCTGGCAGATGTCTGGATCCTGCTCTCCATCCTCAAGGTCGTGTGCCTGTGCTGGATTATCTACTACCTGCTGGGCACCAGTCGGCAGCCGCACGCGGTGCTCTACCGCGATTCCCACGCTGGGGCCATCTGGATTAGGGGTAAATTCTGCTTGCATTTCTCATCTCATGCCTTCTTCCCAGGGCTTGGAAGGTAAAGAAATTCTTCCCCTACTACCAGAAGAGCTAGAAGCCACAGGAGATGCAGTTAGGGCGTTGGAAGTCTCCTAGTGCCCTGTCAGGCTGAGGGAAGGCAGAGACACAGTGAGTGCCATGGAGAGGAAACAAAGAAGCCAGGAAAGGCTTGAATTGAGCCTTCAGCCTCCAGTCCCAATTTCACTCCGTGGTCCTTCCCCAAAGAACAATCCAGGCATATCCCACCTACAGCCCAGCAACTGAGCACTGTGGGAAAGACATAGGAAAGGTTTTAGACAGGAGCACTTTGCAAAGTGAGAGGAATCACCATGTTTGCCCTCCTAGGCTGTCAGTGGCCCCATGCCATCCTCATCCTTGTTTGCCATCACACCAGCCTTGTTGCCAGGGGAAGATTTCTGCCCAGTGAGTCACACCCCAGTGACACACAGGCTTTTCTGGGAGATTTCCCATCAGTATTTGCCCCACTTTAAGAAATTACACTTCTCCAAGCAGCCCTGCCTCTGGTCTATTACGGAATTTCTAATTAGGCATGGGGGTGTCAACTAAGCATAGGGAATTAGAGAAGTAAGCTGCAAGGTACCTGAGTACCTAAAGCTGCAGAGATGTGTCCAAGGCAAAAGGGAGAAACAATCAAAGAGAGACAGCTCCAGGAGACTTTGATGCCAAAAGCCTTAGCAGACCTGGATTCATCTCAGATTTTCTCTGCAAGGCAGAAAGCATCACCCACCATTAGCTCACCTCTGTCACTCCAGCTTGTACATAAAAGCCCCCAAACCCTGTTCCTGCCTTGTGTCCAAGCAAAAGAAAATACTTTGCATTGTCCGAACACCTTAAACCAGCACAGAACCGGGTTCAGGAATTAGGGTCCTCTTTGTCCCCTTCTCTCAAAATCAGGACAATGCCAGGCAGGAAGGCTTCCAATCCCACACCAATCCAAGCTGCACAACATCTCCAGTCCCCAGCCAAGCTCAGATGCTCCACAGATATGTCTTTGTTTATTTACTGGTGCTTTGCTCTTTGCCCAGGGTCAGTGTTGCTGTTTGGTGGTTTCAGCATCCTCCTGAATGTGTTTCAGATAGGCTACAGCACAATCCTCATCCACTGCAAATCCAGGGTGGAAATTTTGTTCCCTGCCATTGGAATTATTTTTATCTGCACACAGGTACTGTATATTACCCTTCTGGGAGCTTGCTTATTCCCTCTGTCCCATTCCTGGGAGCCCAGGGGTTGGGGGGAAGTGAGGAGACTTGGGAATGTGGGTGCACTCAGGGCACTCTCCTGAGCATTGAAGGCATTAAAGTATTACACACATTTCAGATACTACCTGCACTCCTCATGTACCACATCAAGAGACAAGTGAGCAAGATTCAGAAAGAAATCATTCCAGCAATCTGACATATTGTAGGATCCAGAGGAGTTTGGTTTGAAGCATCAAAGTAGAGACAAAGAAGAAAGCTCAAATTACACCAGAGATGTCTTTGTACCAGTCTGAGACCCTCTCTCTGGATTTCCCAGTCCACCCTCCCAACAAAATCCCTTGCACACAACAATATCTCACACCATTTGCACCTTGTTACTCCAATGCCAACCCTCTTCTTTCCAGCCCCAAAGCCATGTTTGAAAAGTAAACTACTTAAGCAGCAAATACCCATATGTACAGGACAGAGGAGGACAGAGCTCCTGGATCAGCCCTGAGTGCAGGCAAACACATGCTGCACTCACCTAGGGATGCCAGCACCTGCCTCAGTGCAGCAGGTGAGATGCAGGTGCACACATGCCCTTGCACAGAGACAGGTTTGCTCCCACTTGGACCTGTACCTTCTTGTCTAGCTGTCCCTTTGCACCCCATGTGCAGCCAGCTCTCAGCTTCACCCTGCTCATGTCATTATTTCACCCATTGCAGGCTTATTTCCTGTGGCATCACTCTAAGGACTGCATTCAAGTTCAGCACAACTTCACCAGGTAAAAAAGGGGAGAAAAAACTGCCTTCTGCTGCTCTAAAGAAACTCTTCCTTTCTGCCTGTGATCTCCATTATTATCCTTTATTCCTGCTAGGACTTTCTTCATCTGATCCTACAGACTCTATATTCTGGGTCACACAGAAACAAGCTATGCCTTGACCAGAGTTATCCCCCCTCCACTGACCTGGGCCCACCAACTGCCTTTGGTTTTCCCTTGTGACTTGGACTGCTGCAAAGCTTGTTCCTTCCTCCCAAATGTTCTCCTGCTGCCTGGCTCAGGGAGCAGTTCATAGACTGGAGGATGAGATGGGATGGCCTTCCCATTCCTATCACTGGGAGAGAGAATCACAGAATCATCAAGGTTGGAGTAGACCTCTAAGATCATTGTGTCTCAGACTAGGCCAGTTTCGCCAGCAAACCAGGCGTTGCCTGCCCTGCTCTTTTGGAAATGGCCAACTGGGAAGATACTCAGCCATGTTTGTGTGTGCAGAGTCACACACCAATGCCCACACAGAGCAGGGACAGACACACCTTGTGTGCACACATCTGTGCATGGGTCACCCAGAAGCAAAGGGCAGCACTGCAAGGCTGATGGACACACAGGTTGGAAATCACCTCCACACTGTACAAATGCCTGTCTTTCCTCCCAGGTGTGGGCTGATGCTGACCATAGCCACAAACCTCCTCCTCTGGCTCTTGGCCGTGACCAACGACACCATCCACATGGAGATCGAGTCTCAGCTGCGTGAGGTGGAACGGCGATTTGCAGGCAAGGCTCCTTTTCACATCCCCATTTGTGTCAGGCTGACACAGGTGAATTCTAGGGATACAACACTTCAGTGATTCAGATATCACCAGTTCCCTCAAATGCTGCAACTTCCCTATCACTGGAGGTTGTCTCAAGGCTGCAAGGGAAGAACTTCACCAGGAGGGAGGGGATCTCCTATGAAACCCTGAAACTGAGAGCTAGAAAAGTCCACCATTGATTAGTATTTTTGCTCACATTCACCTTTAACTGCAAGCACAAGACTGACAGACTAGAAGAGACTCATGTAGTTGCTGTGCTCTTCTGTCTGAGGATACAGGGGGAAAAAAGTAGAAACTAATATTCCAAGGGTAGAGACAGAGGTGGCTTTGCTGTGAAGGAAGTGTCTCTCATCCAGCACCCACGGTGTTGACCATAGGTAGGAAAAGACATTTGCTAATCCCTGTTATTTTGAATCCTCACAGCCTTGAGGACTAAGCAGTAGTCACTTAAATTCCTACTGATGTTGTGCCTGCACATAAGAAACTCCCAAATAGCCATGAAATCCAGGCCATCTCCCTCTTGTCGCCTTCCTCTTCCTCAGGCAACGAGACTACCTTGTGCACGTGCCCAAACACAACCATGTGCAAAGTCTTCCAGAAGGGCTACATCCTGCTCTACCCCTTCAACACCGAGTACTGCCTGGTCTGCTGCTCTGTGCTGTACGTCATGTGGAAGAACGTGGGGAGACGCATCACCCACCACCACGTCCCTGACACCAAGCCCAAATTCAAGGTCCACGGGGTGGTCTTTGGGCCACTGCTGGGTGCTGCTGCTGTAATCATTGGGACCTGTGTCTTCATGTTGTACCAGATCCAGACCACTGGCTTGGTCCCCAGTCGCCAGACCTTCGTGATGTATTATTCCTACTACATTGTGCTCCTGCCCCTGATGAGTGTGGGTGCAGTGATTGGGACAATTATCCATGCCTTGGAGAAAAAGGAACTGGACACACTGAAAAACCCAACCCGCAGCCTGGACGTGATCCTGTTGATGGGAGCGGCCCTAGGCCAGATAGGCATGTCCTACTTCTCCATTGTGGCCCTTGTGGCCACTGACCCTGGGGACTTGTTGAACAGTCTCATCCTGTCCTATTCAGTCCTCCTTATCTTTCAGAACATCACCCAAAATGTCTTCATCATTGATGGGCTCCACCGGCAGCGCTTTGTAGCGGCCCCTGAGGCCAAACACACAGGACACGTTGGGCAGCACACAGTGGCTGCAGAGCTACCTGGTGAGGAGGAAACCACGAGGAGCAGTGAACAGGAGCACACACAGACATCTCCTGGCAAGGAGGAGGATACTAAAGATGAGCAGAATCATGAAACCTACAACCAGAGAAGAGTAAGCGTGATAGAGCTGGGCCAGGAGATCCGGAAAGCTTCCCTGTCCTACATCCATAGCTACTCTCACCTGAGCTGGAAGAGAAGAGCATTGAGGGAGATCTCGTTCTTCTTGGTTTTGTGCAACATCATAGTAAGTATTGTGCCACGTTGGCCTATGACACAGATGTGCTCTCCCTGGCTTTCTCTTGGGCTGTTATTCCGGACGTGCTCTCCCTGGCTTTCTCTTGGGCTGCTATTCTGGACAAAAAAAACCACCTTTGCCCACCAAATTTCAACCTACTGGTGAAGCAAGTCAAGGCTGGTTTTGCTGTTAATACCCCACTCTCATAACGATAAGGTCTCTCTCTTAAGCTCAAACATGGCTGGATTTCCTGGGTGCAGGTAGCACACAGCGAATTAATCCTTACTTGCCAAAACTTTAGCCTCTGGAAAAAAAACTATTAGGCTCATTAAGGGTGTTTGATGAGAAAGATGGAGAAATGTGAGGCACCAGCAGTGACTTCACAAACATGAGTCTCCAGGCTTGAAACTCACCCAATAAAGTACACTGTGCTCTGAGATCTTGAATCTCACTTAATGCAGTGAGAATAAATTGCCCAGGGAAGCAGTGAAACCCTGTAGAAAGATGAAGCAGGCTGGGGCAGAATGAGGATGCCTCATTAGGTTTCCAGGAATTTGACAAGATTTGACTTATAGCAAGGAGTCAGCAGAACTAGGGGATTTTACCTTCTCTTCCCTGGCAGGGAGAATCCTGATACTCCTGAAATATTCTTATGACCACTTGAGGCAGTGATGACATTAGGGTGCAGGTAGGGGACAGTTTGTCACCCTCTGACTTGTGTCTCTTTTCCTCACCCCTCTTTAGCTGTGGGTCATGCCCACATTTGGGGCTCACCCTGCCTTCGAGAATGGACTGGAAAGGTCATTTTATGGCTACTCCACCTGGTTTGTCATCGTGAACTTTGGGCTGCCCCTGGGCGTGTTCTACCGCATGCACTCAGTCGGAGGACTCCTGGAGGTCTATGTCACAGCTTGAGCCAAGCTGGCTCCCCCCTCCAGAGGCTAGGGAGAATCAGTGGTGCTGAACAAAGGTGCAGTAAACAGCAGATATGCATGTGGAAGCTTTTACGATTTTTCCCTCCAGCTTCTGCTTTGACTTCTCCTTGCTCCTCTCTATGAGTTTTGGAAGAAGAGGGGGTTGGTTTATATTATCTCTTTTCTCCATAGACTCAAAGCCCATAAACAAACTCTCAGGGCTCTAAGGAAGCACATGCAGGCAGGCAGCAGTCTGCCAGTGGATGCTGTATGGCAGCAAGTGGGACTTTATCAGCTATTGAGATCTTCCAGAAAAAAGAAAGCCATAGAAGCCTTCAACAAAAGCAACAAAGACTGACCTACACTCCACAGAACACCAAAAATCCAGTGAAGGGCCACCAGCCCCACCACTGCTTACCAGTCCACCATCCTGCAAGCAGAGAGACCCACCAGCCACACCAGGAGCACATGCAGCCACAGTCACTCAGGAATGAACCAAACATATGCTTTTTATGTGCCATTTTCAAAAAGAAGCTGGGAGCTGCTTTCATGGTCTGACTGCTCCTGGTGCTGACATCTGGCACATCAGCTTGTGCGAGTCCTGTGGGACGAAGCCCCACAGCATGCCAAGATGCTACAGCTCTCAGTGCTGGTGAGCAGGAGAGGCCTTCAGCCTTGCACCAGTTCAGTGTGCATCATTTCCCAGTATCAAAAATAGATGCTACAACATGACATTGCCTTACTGAGAATAAACACTATTTCTCTTTACGTGCCTCAGGTGAGAAGCAGTAGAGAAGCACTAGGGGTGATCTTTACTTACCATGGATGATGTTACCACCAGTGTGGACTAGCCACGGTCCCACCCTTGCACACAGAGCTAGTTCAAGAGAGAGCTACTGCCAACCCACTGTGAATCCCTCCCCAACCCAACACTGTGTCCCCAGTGCTGCTTCACACATCCACAAACATTTCACAAGGTCACTGTGCAAAAGAGAACACAAGGTGCCTGATCAAAGACCCAGAAGTAGATGTTCTGTAGGGGATGCTTGATTTGAAAGCACATGGGAGAGCAAAGGGGCTTGCAGCTATGGGTCCCAAACACAGAGCCTGATGAATGGAAATAAAGAGAGATTGAATTTTCATGTGTCTTGTGAAATCTCTGGCGCTGCTCTGCACTCACCAAAGAACAGGCTCAAAGTCAACTGACTCCTACTGCTCCTGCATTCACAGCTTATATGTGGCTCTGAGCAACCTGGTCTGGTGGGAGGTGTCCCTGCCCATGGAAAGGGGTGGGAATATGATGAGATTTAAGGTCACTTCCAACCCAAACCATCCTGTGATTCTGAGATTTAAAAGCAGGCCTGTTTTACAATCAATCAAAATCTTTCCTGACCCTTACCCAAGGCCAAAGTAGCATGGTACAAAAGGCAATCTCATCATTGCTTCTGTTCCTCTGTAAGTCAGTCCCAGAAGCTGCATGAGTTTAGGATCAGAGCCTATTTATGGAGGCTTTTTGTGATGCCCTAGGAAAGTAAACTCTCCCAAGACAGCAACAGTGATGAGAGTAGAATTAGAATTAGGATTCAGCATTCAGGTAGTGATAGCATCTTTTTGTGAAACTCTGATTGCATGAGCATGAACTTTGCCCAATAAGTGTTTGTACTTAGGCCCATGTCAACAGAAATATGTCATGAGAAATAACAGCTGGATAAATTAGGCTCCAATAAAGTTAATTATTATTCTCATGTCACTGTTTGTACCACAGGATCCAGAGGAGATACATGCTAAGGTCTGACCTCAAACCTTCTTCCTGGTGATTGACAGCCTGGGGACAAGCAATGATGGCACTTCATGGGCAAACCCATGACCTGGATTCTGTCTGCAGTGTATCAGATAAAATACTGGTTTAAGTTACTGAACTTTTGGAATGAATACTGAAGACTAGACTGAAGACATGAATAGCAGAGGCAGGAGTGAAGCCCATGAGCTCCAACTCAGCCACTACAGGTCAGATAAATGCTGAAGGTCTCTATGTCCTTTCCTAACAACCCCCAGGGCCAGGGTGCCTGTTTTATGGGTCTCAACTGCACAAAGGTTTTAGCACACGATTCACAAAGTCAGGAGATCTGATCTTGTTTGATGCAGCTCTTTTTTGTGCCCTTTGAGGCAGTTACCTTTGACAATGTCTCATGCCACAGACACAGAAACAGCCAAACCCACACAGTTCAGGCTCAGTTTCCAGAGTCCAATCTTCATTTCTGATTATAAAAAAAATCCAGCACCGCAGAGGAAGCCAGCACATGGTCTCCTAGTAGCACAAATCACCCCAGCATAAGACAAACAAGATTATAAACCTCTCTGGGCAGAAAAAAAAAAACAGAAAAGAAAAAAGAAGGCAACCAAGTGCACATTTCAGTTAATCTTTATCTCTCTCTCTCCATAAGTAAGCAAAGAGTTTACAGTGCAAGTTGATTTCCACAGAACAAGGATCAGACTCCAAACACCAATACATTTCAGTTAATCTTTATCTCTCTCTCTCCATAAGTAAGCAAAGAGTTTGCAAGTTGATGATTTCCACAGAACAAGGATCAGACTCTAAACACCAAGAAACAAACAAAAAGGCTTCCAGAGGAACTCACAAAGAAACAAAGCAGAAAAGGGAGGATGGAAGAGATGGTGAGAACCAGCAGATCCATGGGAGGGAACAGGCAAGCACGTGGGACACAGGATGCCCCACTCCAGCTGTGAGGTGCAAGTGCCATACAATCAGAGATTGGCCCCACCAAACCACATTCTCATAGACAAGAGATTTTCTGAGTAAAACAGAGACCTCACCCAGTTTACATCTGAACAGAGGTGGGGTCAGGATGGGAGCAGTGCTGGGTGTCAGAGTGGGCTGGAGATGGGAGGCATGTGGGGAAATAACCTCTCTCTATTCCACGTATTCCTTATCCTTCAGAAAACTGTTCAGGGTTTATTTCAGCTTTCTACTGGCCTGGACTCCATCCACTTTCAGTGCCCAAGGGAAGAAACCACTTGGCTACAGGCCAGCAGCAGCCAGTAGTACACTAGAGCAGCTCTCCAGGAGAGGATGGTCACATTGTTATCACTCCAGCTTCAAAACTTAGGCCAGGGTTACAAGTCAGAGTGTGTCACACACCTGATCCCTTACTTTAAAGTGTGAGACTTGTTTCCACGCAGTGATGGCACTGGCTATAAGCTGTGGTAAACAGTTCATAGCCAGCAATCCTCCCAAGAGCCTGAGTAAAAGAGCACCAAGGACTAAGCTTTGGTGGAGAGGGAAAGGTCTCAGTTCGTGACAGGACCCCTCACACTTCATTACCTAGAGACCATGTGGATCTAACGCAGCAGCTGCTCCCAGCAGAACACAACGTTTGACTGAAACCCCAGGATGTCTCCACTCACCAACATATAACCCCACAATGCTGAGCCAAGCCAGCAACAGCAGGTTTCCCACCAGTTCTCATTCTGGCTTCCCAGACTTCACATGCTTGGGACCCAATACATTCAAGACCCAATAACTTGGTCACTAGCAAAATGCCCTGAAGAAATTAACTTTGCCTCAGCACTCTCCACTCCCTACTGACATGGAGATGCTTTTCCTCTTACGACTTCCAAATTCCTCCTACAACTTCCCTGAGTGCCTCCCTCAAACCCCTGCCTTAGACAGTAGTGTGCAAAAGACCCTTTGGCTCTCTGCATTGCATTAGCCTGACAGGCAAAGATGGAAGGATATGGTTCCTTCAAACCCAGGTGACACTGTCCTTTCAGTCAATGGGAGCAGACTTAAAGAGTTTAACAGTCAGGTCTCTTCGCCTTGCTCTCACTGAGCCACTCTCTTTCTCCCTGTGTGCTCACATGGATTAAGCAATGCTCTCCAAAGTGAAACATGTTCCATTGCACCAGCCCACCATGAAGGACAGGTTGCTGGGCCTGGAAGCCAAGGAAAAACTTCTCAGCCACACCAACAGAACTCCTTAAGCAGCTTTCTGGGAAAGGAGTAGAGAGATTCAAAACTGAGACACAAAGTTTTCCTTCAACAACTTCTTCTTTCATCTGAGTGGGAAAGACTTCCCTATATGCAACTGAGACACCAGGGAGACACCTGCAGCCAGAAGGGATGCTCTGGAAACTTTATGGAGCCACATGAAAGTAACTATAGTTTCCAAACCCTGTCTCCTGCAGGAATAGCAGCTTCTCCCTTGCAGCCAATTTACAGCTAGTTTCCTTCAACTAAATGCTGACTCTGACCAGGGCAAGGACAGGGTCAGATTGGTTTCCAAACCACATCCAGAAGCAAAAGAGTAACAGAAGAGCTAAGAACAGTCTGATTTCTAGTGCAACCACAACAATGGACAATCCCTTAGAAATCTTTTACTCAAGATTTGTGGTGAAGGGTGAGGGAAGAGAAGTGAGCTGGGGGAGGGATGTCCAAGCAGGTCCCAGTTAAAGCTTTAAATGACAGGGAGGTAAATGAAGTGATTGTCCTTTTGGTCTCTCAGCTGGATGTGAAATGCAGGAATAGCTGTGATGAAGCAGCACACCGCAGTCCTTAGATCCAGTGTATTTCTCTTTGTAGAGGTAAGTGCTCTCTTAGACCCGTTGAATTTCAAACAGCTTCACATCTGTGTCATACCAGATCGGGGGATCCACATTCCTGAGAGAGAAAGACAACAGCCACTTTAATCCCTGTGGCCAGGTACATGGAATTCAAATCTCACAGCCCAGATTACAGGAGCTGCCTACACAGCCTGCCTTCAACTTTGCATAAAAGGAAATCACTGGTTCAGAGACAAAACACCTTAAAGGGATGACAGTATCTACAACAACCCACAAAGCCAGAGCTTTGCATGAAGTCTCTGCACCAGCCCCTCTAGGCAGCTTTTTTATTCCCTGCTGCTCCCAGTTCCCAGGCAAGCAGTACTCCCAGAACAATCCCATGTCACCCACTCAAAGTTTCGGCGCAGCTGATTCACCCTA